AACACACTAAACAAGTTTTAGTGCAAACTGACCCTTTGTCAAGTCCCTCCTGCTTGCCTTAGTTACGGTTGCTAAGGAGGACAAACAAAGCCTCACAGAGTCCGTCTCCATTGAAAACACCTGTTGGGTTTATTGACTCGTATTTCTATTCCTCCTTATTCCAACTGTCCTTTGAAACATGTGGGTTTTTAGCATCTCTGGAGAAGAAAGAGAAAGAAAGAGCATCATGTTTAAAAATAAAAAATATATCAGCTGATTAACCAAAGCACCTTTCTCTCAGGTGAGTGCCAAGCTGTCACTGGTTCAGCTCTCTGCTCCACATAGATTCACCTCCAGAAAATCCTCTTCACAAAGAAGCTACTTCGGTTTGATCACCATGGCAATAAGAAAATAAACATTTACAGTTTCCTGAATCCAAATCAAATGTTCAGGCCAAACTGAAAAAAAGGATTTAACATTCTCGTAACTGGATAATCTGCAGATGTTGTTTGAATTAAAAACTCTATAAAAAGATGGACGACATGACGGCTCCCCCTCAAAGTGAAGCCAAAACATTTGCAGCTCCCCCTACTGACTGGCTGCAGTATAGGCCATAAGCTCCACCTCCTTGTTAACAAATAAGACATAAAACTATAAAATCAAAACAAACTTCTCATCGTCTTTTCTTTAACATGGTTGAAAAAATGTTGTCACATGTTTATTTTCTTTAAAACCGTGTGGATGATTTCACGGTGTGAAAATGGTCTTCTCGTATCATAGCGACGGACTACCGCCCCCCTGCTGGCATGGAGAGTTATTTCCTCTCATGCATGTGCAGAATGTACGTGGTGGTTGGCCGTCAGCTGTAGTCTTTGCGATGAGTTTAAGTGCAACTTTTTCTCCTCCTCCTATCCAATCAAGGCATCAAATGGCAGCAGCAGCATATTTTCAATTGAACAGAAATGTAAAACGGCATTTTTACGGTTGACAGAAAAATCATTTCTTGGTTAATTTCTTTTACTTTACTGCAACCTGGTTTGCAGATATGACTCGTACCTTTTCATTTTCAACAATGACGCCTTAAGTAGAACAGCAGATAGCCTCAGACGTCCCAGCCAGATGAAGTTACATAACTTCAGACACTCAGCTCAAACTGAGACAGAAGTTGAACATCCATCCATCCATTCAGACGGTGAGAGGCAGAGAACACCCTGGACCTGTCGTCAGTCACTCACAGGACACAAAAGAAGAACAATGACTGTTAAACTTTACGGCTGAACTCGCACACACAGATGTTTAGTCAAACACATATTTAAAAAAAAGGATTCTGAGAATCTCCTTGAATCTGTCAGGAGGAGAAAACTCAGCTTTATTTAGTTAATTACAGCTGCAAACAACTCAGCTGAATGTGGTGTTCCCTTACACACCCACACACACACACACACACACACACACACACACACACAGGGTGTCCCGCCACAGGCTGTTTGCTGCTAACCATTAAGGCATGTAAACACGGTGATTCGGGTGTCAGGCGACCAGAAATGAGAGCCTTTCTCTGGGCGTGCTCACAGAACTGTCCCGCGCGTCAGCCCGCCCGCCGCTGTGGCTCTGGCAGGAAGATGGCGATAGCGTGAGTGTGCAAAATAACTCCCAGTTGTTAAATGATGCACCACACAAAGGCACCATCATTTATTGCATGTGAACGCTTCATAATAAATCTTAAAAAGGTAAAGTCCCAAAGAAGCAGATGTTGTGATATTTCCAACTCAAACGTGATACAACCAATCACAATGCAAAATCTAAAATCATCTAATCTGCCTTCAGTCTTCATGGTCGACGGCGGATTTCACGGTACACAGGTTGAGTCGGTTTTGACACATTCTGCAGCTGATAAAAAACTTTAAGGCTCAGAATGGGTTTCTGTTTTAAAATCAAATCCTGGCCTTTATTTTGAATCTCAGAAGAGGCTGGTTGCTGCCACTTTTCTGTCTGTGCTGGACTAAGATTTTGTTTAATACATGCACACCTCGTCTCAAAGTGATCTTATTGGTTTGATTATTGAATTAAATATTATACTGGCATGAATGATAAACTGTAAACATACAATAAATCAGAATTCGATTCTGCCATACTTGTCGGCATGACTTTAAAATGAGACTGGAATAGTTCTTCTCAGTTCTGACTTCACTTTTATTCTTCTAACATTAATTTACAGTTTACAATGAATCTGTTGATATCAAAGATGTTATTGTAACTCGCTGGGAAAGGCTCCAAAGTGGACTGATTTTTACCGTGATGTAATATTTTTATAAAATAGGGTCGTATGACATCGTATGAAAGAGATTAATAAAATAGATTTATGTATTCATGTAAACACAGCCACTGTTTGCTGTATTGTCAAATGGACTTCTTTGACCTCATGCAGACTTAAACACTGACATATTTTTTATCTATCTAAGTCTATCTTAGGTCTACTTCCTTTGTACCTTCAGCTGTTATGTTTATGAAGACCATGGTAATTCCCGAAATTCAACATGTATTGGGGTACATGTTGTAACGTGGGCCGTGTACTGTGTTAGGTATCGTGTATCAACCCCCCCTCCAAAAATAGACAGCTACCCTTTAATTCCCCCGTCGGCCAAATACAGGAACCAGCTTGTGGTAAACATTCAGGTGTTTTCTTTCTGCATACATTTACACTATTGTGCATATGCATCCAAACAACCTGCAGACACACCTTCAAATACAGACACAAAGGCAGAGCCACACACACACACACACACACACACACACACACACACACACTACAGAACAGCGACTCATCGGAGTCTCAGGGGACTCTTCCATATGCTCGCCGCGCTGAACCTCGAAAACTCGGCTCACTCTCACACCTCACAAACTAGTGATGAAAGCGATTTCCTTCCAAAACGCTAATCAGGACCAAAAATAACTCGCTTGATCATCTTCTATCAAAGGCCAACGGGACGCTCCGACACACGGACAGACTGACGGCATAAATGTAAGCTGACACCAACCCAGTTATGTCAACAAAAAGAAGAAGAAAAAAAACACACACCTTAAAAAAAGCAGACAGGTAGACATATGTGGGACATGGCTAATGACAGGGACTACTTTAAAATTAGAAATGAGAGTGAGGCTCAGAGAAGGTGAAGACAGAGGAGAGGAGTGAATACACCTGTGAAGACTTATTAGCTGACCTCGTTCAAAGAGGATTTTTCAAATACGTTGTTTGTACAAGAGGGCGGTTTGAATTATTATTTCTGTTTCGACTGACACCAATACTTCTGTGGATATTACCTTCAGTCCATCAGTACAGCTGGTGTTATGTTGACATTTCAAATAGGGATGCAGAGATAAATGGGCGGATACTGACATCAATATATTGTGGGGGTTTTTCTAAAGTTTTACTATCAGGCTGTTTTTGCCTATGTTGGACGGCTGAACAGACAAGAAATGATGGGAGGAGAGAGAGCGGGGGTGACAAGAAGGAAAAGGTCAAGGTCAGAGGCCATCCAAAACACCCTTATGTAGTGATGTAGTCAGACCACACTAACCAAAACCAAGACATACCCAAGACCAGAGTGCTCCGACAGAAGACCGAAACATTTAGGGATCGAGACCTCGGGAAGACCAAGACCAAGGCGGGACGAGGCTGAGATAAGACCTGGTTTTCCAGGGCGCTGGTGGCCTGGTGATTGGTGCACACGCCCCATGTAGTGAGGATGCGGTCCTCTGGGCGGATAGCCCGGGTTCAAATCCAACCTGTGGCTCCTCCTGAAGTCATTCCCAACTCACCCCTCCCCCAGTTTCTGACTTTATCCACTGTCCTGTCTCGAAATTTTGGTTTCGGTATTTTGGAAGCGTTGAGTTTCTTTGGATATGATGAGAGATGTGATTGGTTGTGTGTATTCTGTCCTCTGACCTCTGGGACTTTGTTTCACAGTTTTTTCAACAATCACAATCAACACTTTTTAATTTGACAACTATCTTATTCTTTTTCCAATTTTCCAATGGTTTATTCCCAACACGTTATAGTTCCTGATCTTCACTTTGGAATCCCCGATGTTGTTGTTGAAAAATGTAGACGGCTGTGTGTCCGAGGAAAAGGCTTTAAGGGGTTCAACTTGTACCATTTTCGCGCAGGCGGACGGCTGCTCTACTGATAGGCGATGACCTTCCAACCATTTACGAATTTCATACCGTAAAAATAATGACTTTATTCTTGTAAATTTACGACTTTAAAGGCAGGGTTGGTCATTTCCTCCAGATCCACTTTATAAGATTTGGTTTGAAATTGTCTTAGGTCCTGACAGAAATTAATAACTCATGTTCTCTGAAAAAGGAACAAATAAAATCCGTCATCTGTATCAGTTTGTAAGTCTGTAAAAACTTTGACCAATGTCTGCCACGAGGTACCAATCTGATGAACCAATCAGACGCCTCCCTGTCTCTCTGCTCGCTCTCTAGCTAGCCCACACTCAAAGCACGTCACTGATGACAGAGTTTACACTGTGGAGGAAAGGTGCTCGTGCATGTAAGTGAGGGGGCGTGGCTTTTGAGGGAGCACAGAGGGGAAGGGGTGGGTGCAGACGGAGCACTGAGGGAATGCTACTTTCTAAATCATGCTAGTTTTCGAAAATTAGCAACCCTAGCTTTAATCTCGTAATTTAGGATTTTTTTTAACATGACCCTAATTCTCCATCGAATTCAAGAGTACTTTGGTTGGAAATTTGTATTTTATACAATTTATTATTATTATTTATTATTTTTTACTTGTATTATAACTATCACTATTGATATTGTAACATGACCCAAGTCCCTTAAAGTTAGCATTAAAAGCACCATTAGCGCCACAACAAGTTGTAATGAAGTGAATATTTAGATCCAGTATAACCCGAGACAAAATAGTTTTCTTCAATATCCATTACCGTCAGACGAATAAAACATGTCATCACTGAAACATCAAATGACGTCACAAAGGAGAAAAGGCAAACAGATAATTCTATTCATATTTATTTGAAAACAACAATCCTTTTTTTCCACTTCTACGGCGATCTCTTGTTGTTGGGTTCATACATGATATTTGTATTAATTCCACAGAACACCATCACAAACGTTACCCTTTTGTATATGCACGTTTACTTTTTTTTGTCTATTTTTCTATCGTTGTCATTTCTAAACAATGACTTGTGCTTTGATATCTTCGAAAGAGAGAAAAGAGATTTTTTTTAAAGACATCATCGTTGTCATGATAAGTGTACATAACAGAGGGAGGGGTTCGAAATAGAAAAAAGTTGTAAGAAGAGGATATACTGGTCAAATACACACTGATACAGACAAAGATACTGTACACACTCACATTGCAGCCTGCCCGACTCCACCCAAAACTGTCCAAAAGAGAAAAGAGTTGTGTCACTGAAAACACCACAACCCCTAACTGCTCCCTTCTTCTCCTGATTTGAGGACTTTTCAGTATGATTATTGTTGCCTTGCAACAAATACATTCCCTGCTGGTGAGCAGAGTTTTGGCTAAATATTGCTTAGCTACACAAAAGATATCCAGGAGAGGAGAAGGAGGAGGGATCACAGCAGGGTTCAAGAAAAGCAGTGCAGAAAGCCTCAATGTCACAACTGCCAAATGTATCATTACAATTTCAGGGTTCAGAGTGCAGAAGAGTTCTCCTCCGAAACATTACCAATCAAAGGTTGCTGCAAAAAAAAAAAGAAAACTGACCAGAGACCTGGGACTCTTATAGCAGAGGTCCGGAGAAATATAAGGTGCATTTGTCAGAGAGTTTGGTGTGTTTCCTGTATGCGTGTCCCCAGAAAAGAAGCCGTTAAATAAGAGTTTGAATGGGTTGATTGCCATGGCCATAGTGTGCATCAATGCAGAGAAAATGTTTATGTGTTTAGGGGAGCTGAACGACTATTTACATGGACTGGAATGTTTTCCCCCGTTGAGAAATCCAATTAATAAAAAAAACTGGATTCGTTTGGGTAAAGTAGTATGTCATCAGCGTAATGAGATATCTTCGTCTGGCGCACAAATGGAGGTGGTTCTGGGGAGGAGCTCGGAGGACGGGTTAGAAAAAAACAACAATTGAAGCGTAATGCCACGGTGCAATAAAGGCGTGTTCATTCATTTAATGCTGAGAGCGAGTCTCGTAAAAAAACGAAAAAAGGAAAAATTACCTCGAAAGTGCGAAAAAAAAACGAGAAATCACGATCAGGGACAGGCGAACGTTAGTGGAGAAAATGTACAAGCAAAGTAGCATAATGTGAATGTCATTCTACATGTTATGTGCAGATAGATAGATAGATAGATAGATAGATAGATAGATAGATAGATAGACAGATAGATAGATAGATAGATAGATAGATAGACAGATAGATAGATAGATAGATAGATAGACAGATAGATAGATAGATTCTTTATACTGTATGTATTCATATGCTGGGTAAATATGATGCTAAATCTTACTTCTATGTGTATATACCTCCAAGTAGAGGGGGCTCACTTAGATGTATATAAATAGGTCTAACATTTATAAAGCCATATTACAGTGTACATATCCTCGCCCTAATGTAAGCAATAGCAAAAAACCCATGCTTTACATACATAGAAAAAGGCATCCACGACATTTAAGAAAAAATGTACAATTTTATGAAACATGGTAACAATAATAAATAGTATTATAGAATCGCTGCTGTACACAAAAAAGCATTTTTTAAAATTTCACTCATATAAAAATATGTTTTAGTGCAACCGTACGTAATAATCGTAATATCCATAACTTCACATCGCTTGTTGAGACTTTAAGGTGTCCATAACAAAAACAAAAAAAAAAAACACAGGAGGTGGGGGAGGAGAAAAAAGGGGGGAAGGCGGGGGAGGGGGAGAAAGTTGCATTTCTTACAAAGCTGATACATGATAGTACTGTATTTACATTTACCTTCCTGCTTTGTTTGCTTATAAGAATATAAGCAAAGAACAAACTAAAGATGAAAGAAAAGGCACACACATAGCTGTCAGACTTTTTTTTTTGTCTTTTGACGTACCGCTTAAACCAGAGTCCGTTCTTGATTTTTTTTTTTTTTTTTTTAGCAGATTTTGGTCGGGCTCATGTGTTGGTATTTATTTAGTTCACATACATGTAAAACTGTATACAGATCCTCTTTTTTAAAAAGTCTTTAAATAAGAAAAAGGTTTCATAGAGCAGGCCCTGGTATGAACAGGCATGCTGTAGGTACACGTACATTAAAACTGCAAAAGTCCACTTGAGTCTTTTTTTTTGACAAGAGCTGTTTCTCTTTGTATGTGTCGTGTGTGTGTGTGTGTGTTTGAAAGAGAGAGAAAGTGTGTGTGTGTATAAATTGGAGTATGATAATGTGTGTAAAGTGTGCAAAAGTCTTTTTTTTCTCTCTCTGTTGCACTTCATCCCTTCCTTTTATCCCAAAACTAATAAAGAAATCCATCGTTTTTTCCTCCTCCGTTTCTTCTTCTTCTGCGGTCCTATGACACGTCTCTGCTTCTTTTTGTGCTTTCCGCCTCCCAGTCTCGCTCCAGCATGAGAGGTTTGGACGATGACGGAGGCTGGTGGGCTTCAGATCCAGGGTTGGGGCTTGGCGGATGAGGGGAAGGGGAGCAGGAGGAGGAGGAGGAGGACGAAGGGGAGTTGGGGACTGATTGGTGAGGAGGAGGCCTGAGCTCCAGGCCGCTAAAGTGCTGAATCCCAGGTGATGGTGACGGGTGAGGAGATGGGGAGCGCTGCTGAAAGTGGGAGTCGGGGGACAATGCAGAAGGAGTAGAAGAAGAGGAGGAAGATACTCGGCCGCCATCTTTCCTTTTATCCTCTCTGCCTCCTCCTCGTTCTGCGAGCTCCTTCCCCTCGATGCAGAGCGAGGCGATGGCCTTGGTGCAGGTCTGGATGCTCTCCTCCTGCTCCTGCCTCACCTCCCTCTGAGGTGAAGTCGACTCCCTCTGCCTGTCGCCCCCTCCTCTTCGAGCCCCCCTCTCCGAGGTGAAATGAGCAGAGGTGGCCTCGCCGGCCGAGGAGTCCTCGGACGTGCTCTGCTGCAGCACCAGGCGGGATGTGCTCTGCTGTGCCCCCTGCTGGCCCAGAGGTGAGGTGACAGCTGACGGGACGGAGTGTACCATCTGGATCCCTCCGATAGGGATCATCGGGAATGGAGAACGCACCTGAAATCAAAAGTTCAGCTTTAAAAAAATCTGAAATGAATATGACACAATCACAGTTACTATATTCTGCTGGCCTGAAGTGGATTTTGTTGGGGACTATTTCCAGCAGCGGATGCATCGCTGCTGGAAATAGTCCCCAACAAATGCCTTATATACTCCAATTTGAGTCGCATAAGATGTCCACCTAGCAGAAAAGCGCTGAAGATGCCGTTGAGTGTTTGCATGAAGCGTTTTGTAGCTCTGACAAGAAAACAGCTGCATGTCCGTCCTGTCTCCATGACAACAGTCTGTTGACAACGACCACTGTATGACCGGCACGGCTCCGTTCCTTTTTACTGAATGTTTTATATTTGAGATGGTTTTTTTACACGGACACGGCGCGAGGAGGATGTGAGTACAAGACACGATCTGTAGGCGGCTAAACTACGGGGAATATCAAACATTTGGAAAAGAGCGCCGGTGACGTCAACACCGCCTTTCTGAAAAGTTGAAAGGTTTTAAAATCGAAGCGTCAGGAGCGGTCGTACAAAAATGACGGCGCGCTCAGAATAAAACATGCTGGACGCTGCGCTTTTTCTCCAGGCGGACTCCCAGGAGCGTCACAGGATAACATTCGGGTTCAAGTACACATAAAATTAAAGTTTACAAAACGAAAAAACTAAATATAGCTAAAAGTAAAAATAATTATCCAGATAATAAAAAAATATGTATTAAATATCAAAATAAAGAAAAATCAAATCCAATAACAAATGTAATACCTGGAGTTGAGAATGGAGAGGAAGGTGACTGAACAGGACTTGGTGTGGTGGGCTGGACTGGTTGCCACGGCTACCGCCCCGGTCCCCTGACGACGGTGATCCGAGAAGATGTTCCTGCAAACACAAGAGAGAGAGAGAGAGAGACAAATGAAACAGTGAGCAGAAAGTCTGAGAAGAACCCACAGAGGAAACACACACTGTCACCGCACAATAAACACACACATGAGGCTTCATGAAGGAAAATAAAATAAGATGTTATAAGATAAAACCTTAGTTTAAAAAAACACAAACATACTGTGTTGTGTTGGGTAAAAACAGGACTGTACATCTTATTACAGAAAGTTGAGTTAAAGCAGAGCGAGTGTCAGCTTCATGTTTGTTGAAGTGAGACCAGCAGCAGCAGCAGCCAGAGGCTGAAGTGGAGCTCTTAAGAAGAAAAACAGCCGCGTTATTAACCACCACACCGCCAGCCAGGATCCCGTTACCACCAAACCAGCAGCTCTCTCTTCAATCACCTCTGTGTGTCTGACTCGCTCGTCGTTCCCTCATCCTCTCTGAATGTTTCTCCTCTAACCAGACGCTTTCCTTCTCTGACACTTCATTTCCTCTCTTTTCTTCAGCTTTAACACATCAGACCTCACACTCTTTGCATGTGCTGCATTATAAAGACGACCGATTCTATCAGCAGAGACAGAGGTCTGCTTGTCACTGCCTCCAGACCACTAGGGGGGGCCCTGATGGCTGACAAACTTTGAAACCAAAGCAGTGGCAAAATTAGAAAATTTAGCAAAACCTCCCTCTTTGGAGGGTCCCAACAGACTCTAGAATCGCCACTGGGGTGAGATAAGTCCAGTTACAGTATCTTTATGGTCACTGTCTAAGTACTGGCTCATAGTGGTGCACCAGTTCTTGATCTGCTCCCAGCTCTACCTCTGTATTTATATCGGTCAGTATTCTTTGTGTTTTTGGGACCTCTTTAAGCTCTCTGTCCCAAACACTCAGACAGAAACTGGGCAAAGGGCTTCTGAGTATTCTTCCCCCTCAGCCTGGACTCTGTTGCAGAACCACTTGAAACTCAAGGAGCTGGTGTCCTTCAGTGTTGTTGAATCTAAAAGGAAAGACCTGGAAGCAGATTCTATACGATGTTGAGGCTTTTAGCTCGACTGCTTGAACGTCTGACTCCCAGATTTGACTGATAAATGGTTAAATTAAAAACATAAATAACAGAATAATGTTGGAGCAAACCTGCAGATTCCTAAATAGATAAATGACTTTTAAATACAAAACCAAAAATATACAAAATACTGGTAACTGGGGCGCCAGTGGCCGAGTGGTTTACTTCGTCTCCCATGTTCAGAGGCTGGCGGCCTGGGTTCAAATCCAAACCTGTTGCTCTTTTCCTGCATGTCATTCCCCCTGCTCTGTCTCTCCCTGATTTCTGTCTCTATCCAACGTCTTGTCTCCCCAAGGCACGTGGCAAGATTTCTGCCACCGGGTTTAAAAAAAAAAAAGAGAGACAACCAGCTAAACGAAGAAAGTGAACGCTGAGTGTGGATTAACTGCTGCCTAAAGATGCCTGTCCTCGTCCTACTTAACTCTTTGACATTAAAGATAACGGGATGGTGTTTTTTTTTAACACATTTTTTGACTTTCCGTCACTTGATTGATCCAAAGTGTTCCCGCCTCGTGAAGCTTGAAATGTGTGATGATGTTATTACACGAGCACGCTTTACTAAACGAGTGAACCGACACATTGAGGAGAACATCCATGAGTAAGAATAAGAAATATCATGCACTCAACCTTTAGGGCACTCAACCTTTAGGGCACTCAACCTTTAGGGCACTCTTACCGTCTCCATCTCCGTGCTGCCTCTGAGGTGACCCTGAGGGTCCAGCTCTGCCTGACCCAAGATTCCGACCTGGTGAGTCGGCCTTAGGCCCCGAGCTCCACACTGAGGACTGGAAGACAGGAACACAAAGACGTATGACATGAAGCCTTGAAACGTCATCATGACCTTTTGCTTTATCTTAACTGACAAACAGGATAACTCACCCCTGGTGGTGGAGATGTTGGTGCAGCCCTCGGCGAGGAGAGAGGGGCCGGATCATCCCTTTGTGGCGTCCGCGGGGTGAAAGGTCTCGCTTGTAGTCTCTTCCCGCGGGGACGTGGGTCGAGAGAGAGGGGAGAGCAGCGACAGGTGTCCCCTCCTGGGGGAGAGGTCCCGCCTGTATCCCCCCGACACCCCCAGGTCCCTCTTTGGGGAGATGTGACGGAGAGGTGAGATTTCCCGCTGGGGCGAGAGGTGTGCGGGTCGGGGTGAGAGGTCTCGGCGTGGGGAGAGGTACCGGTGGGGTGACGGGGAGGATGAGGGGGAGATGGGGGAGGGGCAGCCAGAGAGGTCGAGCCCGGGTGAGGAGAGGCGGGAGGAGGAGGGTGAGGAGATGTCAGGAGAGAGGACGGGTAGGTCTTCATCCATGGAGGAGGAATGAGGAACCAGGAGCCTGCTCCCCAGCGCCCTCTGCAGGCCTCGCTGGTACTCCATCGCTGCCTGGTCGGTGGGCGGAGCCTGCGGCGTGATCTGGATGCTCGGCACGGTGGTGAAGTACCCGAACAGCGGAGGTTTGTTGGTGTTACCCAAGAGGTCAGCGTGATGGAGGGGTGAGGAGCAGAGTGGGAGGAGGCCACGGCCGTGATGGACATGGAGGGGAAGGAGTACGGCTGCGGGCTGGTCGAGCGAGAGCGAGTCTTAGGCGTGGAGTCGCCATCGTAGTCGTCCTCGTCGTCCTCATCATCGTCCACCTCGTCGCCGTCTTCCTCCCCGCCCTCTGAGTCATCGGCGTCGGAGAACTGATGGTCTGCCATGGCAGATCTAGACATTTTATCAGAAGATCTCTGGCCTTCATCTCCGACATCTGAGAGAGGAGGAGGAGAAAAAAAAACATTATTAAGAGAATAAAAGAAAAGAGGAGCTGTAGGAGGCGATGACACAGAACAGGAAGCAGGACAAAAAGAAGCAAGAATAAAAAAGATGAGGAGAGAAAGAGGACATAGGAGAGGAGCAGGATGTGAAAACCGACAGAGAAAGAGAAGAAGAATGTAGAGGGAATGAAGCAGACAAGGAAGAAGAGGAGGCAAACATGAGTAGAGGTAGAGGAGGAAGGGAAGAATCTGAGAAAGAAAATCAAAGAAAAAGGAAGAAGAGGAATCAAGTAGACAGCAGAAAGATTCAGTCTGTGTTCAGTGATTTAGGACGCTTTGTTTCTCTGCCTTCAGCCAAATGTAGGACAGCAGAGAAGCAAACATCCCTCTCAGTGTAATCTCAAATGAAGCTGATAAATCTGAAAACCTCGAGAAAAAAAAAAAAAAGGAAACCAAAGTGAGCTGCCTTTGTTTGGACGAGTCAGACATTTTGAATCTTGTCCTGACGTGTTTCACTTGGCCAGAAATCAGAAACTAAAAAATATTCACATGATATTTATTTTCCACTGCACGTTTTATGAGGTTCTCCTCTCCTCGTCTTCCTCCAGACGCAAGCGCGGAGGAGCAGCGGCAGCAGAAGCCGTTTGGAGTTAATAAATCGTATTTAGCGAACAGGAAACCAGATACACCAACACAGGACTACTTTTCCAGTTAGTCTGTTATATACAAACTGTTTCTCACAAACCGCAAATGTTTATGTCTCCACGACTCAGGGACTGACTTTCTGTTGCTACGTCTAGGCCAAAAAATCTGAGTGTGTGTGTGTGTCCCAATTAAATGCAGAGCCGACACACACACACGGATTAAACTGAAGTAAATTGGATCGGTGATCTATGTATGTGATGGAAATTAACCACCAGCTACCAGTAAGAAGTTGGCACATTATAACAGTTTAGTAAATCCACTTATTATTTTTTTAACCAACCAAAGTTTTTATACTGAAACACCTGCTGACAGGAAAAACTAACGGCCGTGCGGCTCGATGTTAAATCCCTTTAGAGACAGATTTAGGTAACACTTTAAAAGCTTTATATGCGATTTTGTGATCCAGCAGATGTCGCCCTTGAGCACCAGCATGAAACCAAAACAACTGGTGCTGCATTGTTGTGTTAGCATGCTAATGCTAGCGATCTTTATTATGCTGGTATCTTCACACTGCATGTAAATTTACCTGAAATGAGCGTGATCTAGAAACACAGTTAAGCAGTGAGTACAGTATGTTATTCTTCTTTTCTCTAGTCCCTCAATTAAACAACTTTTATACACGAGGGGAGGAGTCAGCCGACCGTCCGGGCGATGTAAACAAAGTGAAGATAGGACTCTGAAAACTCTGAAAACATCACAGACAGTGGGACTCGGGTGTTACACCCATTGTAGACAGTCATGACTCACAGAGTTATTTTCAGAGGATTTACTTGATTTCTACATTTAAGTGTGAAAAATCACATATAAAGACTTTAAATTAAAGGAAGAAATGTGCGGCACATAAATAAATCATAAAGTCTGTCCTGTGTAAATGTGTCTCTGAGTCATGACTGTCTACAATAAGTGAGAAGCTCGAGTCCCGCTGGCTGTGTTGTTGTCAGAGCCGTGTTTACATGGACGTGACGACTGGCTCCTCCCCTTGTGTATGCACCCCATGTGCGGAGGATATAGTCCTCCAAGCAGGGGCGACCCAGGTTTGATTTCGACCTGTGGCTCCCCTCTCTCTCCCCTGATTTCTAAATGTCTCCACTGTCCTACCTCTGAAATAAAGACATAAAAAGCCCCAAAATAAACCTTTTATAAATCACGTATTATTATGGGAAATCTCATTAATCCCTCCGAGGCCTCGAGATCTTTCCCAGAGATCGTTTTCAGATTATTTCCAAATCAGCTGATTAGTGGAACGACAGAAGTTTGGCTGCCGTGTTGGACCTCAGCTGCAGAGATTTGTCGCTGCTTTTGGGGTAATTGACGGAAAACGATATTTCAAAAAAAAAAAAAAATGGTGGAAGAGGTTTTTGTGTTTTTTTTAATTTAAAGCAGCCTGTGGTGGTTTGACACGAGTCCTGCTCATCTGGACGAGATCTGCTTTCCATTACGGTAATTGTTACCGTAGAAACGCTAGAGACGCTGTGGGCAGCACGCAATGGGACAGCAGGATGTAATCGCAGCCTCTGTGTGTGTGTGTGTGTGTGTGTGTGTGTGTGTGTGTATGTGTGTGTGTGTGTTTTGAAAGCTCGTGTCTTACCTCCTTCGTCCGCCTCGTTGTCCTCAACAGACGACATGGACACTCCCAACTCCAAACACTTTTTCATATGAGCTTTGGACTTCATGTGCTTCGTCAAGTTTCCTACAAAACACAAAAACACACACGAATAAAACAGCATTAAAAACTTGATCTAAGGATCTGTGTGTGTGTGAGCGAGCTTCTGTGTGTGTGTGTGTGTGTGTGTGTGTGTGAGCGAGCTTGTGTGTGTGTGTGTGTTACACGCTGCTGTTTTTATCCTGCACTACAACGAGCCAAATGCAACGAAATTTCGTTCTTATCTGCACTGTAAAGTACAAGTTTGAATGACAATAAAGAAAGTCTAAGTCTAAGTGTGTGTGTGTGTGTGTGTGTGTGTGAGCGAGCTTGTGTGTGTGTGTGCGTGATTGTGTGTGCATGTGTTTGTGTGTGTGTGTGTGTGTGCGTGTGTTTTGTGTGTGTGTGATTGTGTGTGTGTGTGTGCGATTGTGTGTGTGCGAGCTTGTGTGTGTGTTCTTGTGTGTGTGTGTGTGTGTGTGTGTGTGTGTGTGTTCTTGTATGTGTGTGTGTTCTTGTATGTGTGTGTGTGTGTGTGTGTGTGTGTGTGTGTGTGTGTGTGTGTGTGCGTGTGTGTGTGTTCTTGTATGTGTGTGTGTGTGTGTGTGTGTGTGTGTGTGTTCTTGTATGTGTGTGTGTGTGTGTGTGTGTGTGTGTGTGTGTGTGCGTGTGTGTGTGTTCTTGTATGTATGTGTGTGTGTGTGTGTGCGCGTGTGTGTGTGTTCTTGTATGTATGTGTGTGTGTGTGTGTGTGTGTGTGCGTGTGTGTGTGTTCTTGTATGTATGTGTGTGTGTGTGTGTGTGTGTCTGCGTGTGTGTTTGCGTGTGTGTTATTGAGTATGTGTGTGTGTGTGTGGCTTCATCATCATGAGGTCCTTTATAGAAGATGTGGCAGAAAATGCAAAACCTCAAAATCTACTTAGCATAAATCGGACATAATTTGTCGATTATATAATTAAATATCAAATGTCTGATCCTGCTCTGAACTCTGCTTGAGCTGGTTGAACGTTAAGTCAGAGACATTTAGTGTTCATGAAAGTGAGGAGATGATGAGAGGTTTGAAAATCTATCAGGCAGATAATGGCCCCCTCATTAAGGATCAGGTATCAGTGAGTCAGCATCTCCAGCCTCTGATACGATGACGTCTGACCACAGCAGCACTAAACAGCCTCTCTGAAAAATGTATTCATCCATTTCACGGCTTCACTCCAGACTTTAGGATCAAAATGTTCAGTATGTGTAGTTAAAATCTACTTATACTAAGAATACATGATTAGTTTTGTGTTTAAAGGATCAATCAGTAAGATGTGTAGTGAGTGAGATGATAAAGGTATCTTACTATCTGATCAGACATTAAGGAAACATGCTATGTTGAAGTGCTGACTTCTCTGACAACAATGCAGCAGCCAGTATGTCCTCCTTCTAACTTTACATTCTGGTCCTGAATGCTCTGGATTTGTTTGGACCAGAGAAGGTAGGCGCTTTTAAGACACACCCCCACACGGCCGTTTTTGGACGCCCCTCGGTTTGCCAGATATGAGAGCAGTTATCAGGTCAACAGGTGTTGCAGCGATGGAAGCGGGCAAGAGAAGTGGTTCAGATAGAAGTGATTGTACCCGACCTAAAAAGCCTCTGCATGTTTCTAATAAGCTCCACGAGCAGAAACGTGCTCAAACTAGGATCAATATTGGAGATGCTTTTGAAAAATGGAGAGAGGTTAGAACACAGAAAGGTTTACAGACCCATGCAGAGCTGGATAAACACTGAAGCTTCAGAGTCCACCACATGGTGACCTGAGTGAGAGGGGGGGGAGACAGCTCTCTATGATGTTTAGAATTTAGACTGCAGTACCCATTTTAAACACTAGGTGTCAGAGTTACATACTGCTCCTTTAAATCTATAGGTTAGGATAAAGCTTTATTTGTGTAGTTAAAGGTGGCTCCTCCAAGGCTGCATCATTAGAGCACAGAATGTTTATCTTCAGAGTCTAAATGTAATAGTCTCTACCTTTGGTCTTGAAGGCGAAGTTGCAGAACTTGCAGACGTAGGGCCGGACATCGGTGTGCGTTCGGATGTGTTTCTTCAGCATGCTGGGTTTCTTACAGCGGATGCCGCACTCCTCGCAGATGTATTTCCCCCGACCTCGACCACGGACGTAAACGTAGTCCTCGTTTGATTTGTACCTGGGAGAAGAAGAAAAAAAAGGGAATTACAAAGAATGTATGAGGATGTGTTTTCAAGCGCGCACCGATCTCTGCAAACATTTGTGATAAAAGGTTAAACACATGCACGTTTATAATCCCTTCTTTTAAAAGCAGGCGAGGCAGACTCACATCGACCCGCGTCAATAAGCTTTGATTCTACATCAGCGCGTCATTCACTACTCAGGCTGCTCCTGAAAAGACAAGGTTCTTCTTTCTCTTTTCCATGTGTAAATAAAACAAATGTCTTTTTTTGTGTGCTCTCTTTCTCTCTCTGTCCTCAACAGAGCACAGAGGTCAGAGGTCATGGTCGGCAGCTCTTAGACATTCACCACCATGCTAAAGGATGCGGTCGTTTTGCTGACACAGAGAATCTTGCTTGAATACAGCTGATATGAGGGCTTTCTATGCTCAAGTGCTGCTCTGAGTTTCAGAGGAAGAAAAAGGCCGGAAAACGAGCTCAGATACTCAGATTTCAAAATGCATGCAACATGTCGAGGTCAGCAATGAAAATTCAAGCTTTCTTGTACCAGGAAGTAAACAATTACTCTGCTTTGGATGGAAAGAATAGGGTAAAACAATTCTACAGTTGAAGATATGGGACCATGAACTGTGCAGAGGAGAACATGAGATCAATCATTTCCTCAATCCCTCCTAACAACATAACAGAGCTGAGAGGACACAGTGTGCATGCAGGACGGTCATGAATGAGGATGGAAAGGGACTTGCATGTGGTCTGTCTAACTAACAACAGTAGACGGTGAAGATTGGATTAAGAAGTCATTATGAAAAAATCCACTTCACCATGTTCCACTAACTCTAATATGTGCCCCTAGTCCGTCTAAAAGCCCCCCAATGATGAGAAAAGTCCATCCTCTCCGTCTTCTGCCTGCTCCACTTTTAGAAAATGTGTGCTCAAACAGGCCGTTTGGAGATTTTCCCTTCATGACATCACAAAAGGCAGTAGCCCCTCCCCCCAGGTGGGTGACACTCCCACAGCTAGGTGTTTGTTCTGTCCTCTGAGTCTGCCTTCTCACCGTAAACAATAGGACATGGAGCGAGAAAGCCGAGACACCCAAGCCCTTCCAGAGAGGGGGCGTGGTCAGACACAGCTCATTTACATATTTAAAGGTACAGACACAGAAACAGCCTGTTCTGAGCAGGGCTGAAATAGAGGGGTTTATAGACATGATCAAATACAGGATCAGAGTGGATTTAGAACAAGAAACTTCACACACATGTTTTGGGGAGCTCTGAGATTTATTTACACTGAAGAAGAGGAGGAGGATATGTTACCTTTAAGACGTTTTAAGCTTTGTGGTGACTGTCTGACTTCATATTGACATTATAACAATGAGGTCACTTTTAAATTCCTACATAGTAACAACTCCATGTTTGTAGTTGATTAAAACCTCTGATAATATCGGCCGTGCTGATGTTACACTGAGGAAAGTTTCCTACTCAACACCAAAATTTCTGGATAAACTAACCTGTGTGGAAATAAAACAGGGGAAAATATCCCTCTAGGGTTGAACTGGTCACAACCCAGAGGCAACTTAAACTGCATAAAAACAACAGAGTCGTCTTTGTTTGAAGGGATGACGAGTCAAAACGGGGAACAATGCAGCGTTCCACTCTTTGGTTTAGTGTTCATTGTGTTTCTGCTGGTTCTTTATTCTAAAGAAACAACAACCACAGTCCTCCTGCCGGTCCCCACTCATTCCTATACAGGACGTTAAGAAACGAAAAACCTTGGTCACACATGATTGTTTTGAAACCCAAATGAGGCTTTGGAGTGAACCGGCGGACACTTGGCAGCAGGGTGGGTCCGCCATGGAGGGGAACATTACCACCAGTCAAACACTGCTGAACTGTGTCTGTCTTTGCTCTGCCGCAGAAGCATCACGTTCACTTCTTTTCTTTTGTGGTGAAGCAGCGAAGTCGGCTGGTGGACGGTGTAGTTTCCTGTCCTGTCTGCAGCGGCAGGAGCAGCGTGGGGGTAAAGTGTAGTCCCCGGGGGGGGGCTCGTGTGATGAAGGAGGTCAAATATCAGGTACATCAAACAATCCCCGCTGATGCAGACGGGATTGTTTGAGAGGGAATTTGTCTTTCGACTCGCACCGCCGAGTGGGAGATACCTCCGAACGAGACGTTTACACAGCTGCGGCTAGTTATGAAAATGAATTACGGTGATTGTTTGGTTTGGTTTGATTTGATCCACAGCACACGGTAAGATCGTAAAGCAGATTCTCTTTCAAACTGCAGGGACAAGAAGAAGTGAGGGATTCGTTTTCTCTGCCAGGACTTGCACTATGTCGACCTCTTCCATCCAGACTCTTTACAACAACTGGTGTGTGTGTGTGTGTGTGTGTGTGTGTGTGTGTGTGTGTGTGTGTGTGTGTGTGTGTGTGTGTGTGTGTGAGCGTCTGTTAGCTGATTACCTACATGCATATTGTTTATGTGAGTGTGTATATGTGTGTGTGTGTCTTTGCTTGGCTGCCCTGTTTGTGCGCTTTTGTCCACTTATTGCTTCTAAATTGTCCTGTGGGGACGGAAGAGAATGACTTCACTGTCTGCTGAATTTAATAACACCCTGCACGTGTGTGTGTGTGTGTGTGTGTGTGTGTGTGTGTGTGTGTGTGTGTGTGTGTGTGTGTGTGTGTGTGTGTGTGTGTGTGTCGGCACCGTCTGTTCAATCCAGTAACCTTGGTCTCCTTGGCTCTACTGTTAGACTATAAAAGATTATGATACTGCTGGAATGTCTCAAACTGAGGGCTTTCAGCTCTAACTCCGGTGTACAGTCTTAATTTGACCATTTTTAAATTCTTTCAATGACACATTTCAGTGCCGTCTATGAGAAAAATTAAGGGTTAATTGACCTGAAATGCTTCATAATAAATGTTAATCGATCATCACACAATCTGAACAACATGGGGACGCAAATGGGATGCACTTTTTAAAACTTTTATTTCCTGCAAAAAAAAAAGAAGAAAAAAACAGGAGCAAGTGAAAAGTAAACTTGCAACAACATTTCTTTGTTTTGCACTTTCATGACACTGCAGGAAGTAAAACATTTTAAAATTAGTGCGCGTCCAATGTACGGAGGCTGTAGTCCTCCAGGCTCTCTCTCTTTCGATTTCTGACTCTATCCACTGTCCTGTCTCTAAATAAAGGCGTAAAAAGCCCAAAAATAAACCGTCAGCCGCATAAATCTAAACACAAACTAAACTGTGAGTGTTTGAGTATGAGTCTGAGGGAACGTCCTGCAGTGATATAATGAGACTGAAGTCAGGGTATGAGGTCACTTTAAACAATAAAACGTTAATAAAAATAATAAATACTATGATATAATGTGACATACTTATTATAAGCCCCACTTCTCTCAATAAAACAAATAATTAAACAAGTTTCTGATGTTGTATAAAGTGTGAAAAAGATTTTAAAAATCAGCTAATGAGAAAAGATCTCGTTTGAAACCAATCTATAAAACGAGAATAAAAAACGATTCGAGTCATCGTCCAATGACAAATCTGCAGCTCCAGTGGTTAGCTTGTTAGCTAATGCTCATGGCCTGCCATCACAGGCACAATGAAACCCAAAGAATAGGTTGTTAAACGGATAAAGGCTTTTCTTTGTAATTTTTCAATATTGTATTAAAGGTCATAGAGAGGTCACCTGTGTTTTATTTGAACATTGGGGCAAAAAGTAACAAACAGAAAACCTTATCAAGAAGTCTTATCGAGCATTTTCCTCGTCTTTTTTTTTTTGGTGTAGATCTAAATTTCACTCCACCTTCCAACCTCAATTTGAAAAAGTTTTGTCTGCGGTGGATTTTCAGGACTTACCCGCCCTCAAAGATCTTGATGCGCGTCGGTTCATTGGCGGGCTGTTTCACCGAGACCTCCTTCTCTACTTGTTCCTCCTTCGAACGATCCCATGACACCACGCCTTTCATCTTCCTCCCAAAATGACCGGCATCGACCGGCATCAGCTCCGGCTTCAGCTGAAGAGAAAAAAGGAGAAAGAAGAGAAAGTAGGCATTAAGCGGAGAATGGAAGGATACAAATCAAATCATAGACTTATAACCCTTAATTTCTCTAATCATGTCCACAAACGTTTTTCTATAACTACAGTCGTACCTGATCAAACCTCAACTTCCAGGCCACAGATGACACCAGTTTCCCAGAGCTGGGAGGCGACATGGCTGCAGTTGTGAACATCAAGTCGTCGTTTCTCTTCTGTTTGGATCTCAGCAGTGCCAGCGCTGCCTTGGTGCTGAGGTTCAGAGGATTCGGGTTGTATGAGCTGACGGACCATGAATTGTAGACGGAGCTTCGCTGGGCAGCTACGGCGCTGTTTGGTTTGGTGTAGTTCAGGAAACACCAGCTCATTCTGCTCATGGTGCGCAGGCTCGGGAACTGGAAAATCTGCTGGACGTCAGACATATCTGCGAGCAGGAGAGTCTGGCCCACTGCTCCGGATAATCCTGCACTTTGATTGGTGGCTAGCTGAACGAGCATGCTGACTGGGGCTTTGTTGGCTGCAGACTGATTTGAGCTGTCTGTGTCTTCTGCATCGTTGGAGGACACCATGGACTGAGGGCTGGAGCTGGGCTCGGGGTTTGGATCGTCCACATCAAGCTCCTCTGGGGAGTCCCGGCCACCCTTAGCTGGGGAACGGTCTGTGACAATCTGGAGAGGAGGGGTGAAGCTTTCAGCCCGGGGAACGTCAGGAGGATGGGGAGCAGTAGAGCGGACGGGAATGGCAATCTTGGTGGCAATGGGGAAGTCACTCAGTGGGGGGGAAGAGGCCATCCTTTCAGAGTCATCGATGGAGTCCTCGCTCTTCAGAACTCGCTGACCTCTGCCCGGCCCCTTCTCACTTTTCCTGCTGCCCTCGGTACCACTCAACTCCACTGCGCTCATCTCCTTCACAATCTGTCCGTACATCCTCTCCTCCTTCACTCTTTTCTGCTGCTTTGTCTCGATAAAGAGCTCCAAAGAGCTGGCGGGGGAAAGCATGCGCTTGCTTCCTCCGATGCCGGACCCCGACGCGTCTGTAGTGGATATGGTGCCTGAAGTCAGTGACAGTGGGATCCCCGTGTTCATGCGTTGCTCTGGCGGTGGATCTGAAACTTTCCAGGGTGGGTAGCGTGGCACTGCGCAATCAGTTTGTCCAAGCAAGTGCGATAGGTTGAAACCTGCCCCACTAATTCCTCCCAGTATGCCTCCAGGCGGTTTGCTGACACTCACAACACCCGAAGAAGAAGAAGCCATGTTGCAGTTCTCAGCAGCACCTAAATCTATCCCATGTGGCCTACTGCCATGAGTAGTTATCAGCTGGCTAACACTGGTGTACATAACACTGCCAAATGATGGCACATGGGTTTGAATCCGCACTGGAACCAGCATACCAGGCAGAGAGGACTGGGATCCAAGGTTCTGGGTGGCAAAGACCGGTTGGATCTGCTGCAGAAGCATTGCAGCATTGCTTGAAGCGGGCAGTGATTGCTTGGAGGAAGGAGAGACAAAGTTTTGCTGTTGTTGCTGAGACAGCGGAGAGCTGCGAGATGAGAAAGAGGCAGAGTACATGTGAGAGCTTGGATTTTCAGATTTCCCGTCATGCGGCTGTTGATCTTGGATTTGCTGCAGGGAGTGATGTGGTTGCTGTTTGTGGAGTGGATGTCCAGACGGGTTTCCCGGTGATCTGATGTGGAGTTTTTGGAGTTGTTGCTGAGCTTGGAGGGTCAGCTGCTGTCGGGCCGTCTGGCTGACATCCTGACTCCAGAACACACCTGGTTGCTGGAAGGAAAGGTAGGGATGTGCACTCTGGTACTGCTGGATTGCTTCTTTGTGCATGACCTCTTGACCGCAATGCTCTCCCTCAGATGATGAACCCTGAGCATGGAGGCGATGGAGCTGGGACCTTTAACAAAAGCAGGATGATTACAAAAAAATTAATTGTATATAATTAATCATTGGTAACACAATCACAATGTGAGTACCGTCAGTTATGAATGAAATAGTGTTTGAACCCAAACTGTGTTACCTGCTGTAGAGAGGTTCGTCCTGCAAGCTGTCCTCACTGATACTCTGTTGGAGGACGTGCTGGTGCTGGTGGTGTTGGAAGGACCCTACAACTAAACAAAACGGTAAGTTAATTGTTTAAAATAAAAATTCCATTCCTTCTTGGTTGCAAATTCCATATTGCTTTGGTTCAAGAAATGTATGACTCATTGCATAAAACATGGTCCAAACACTTAGTTGTCAATCAAGTCCTTGAATTCAAGCCACAACCTAAAACTGACCAGTGAGGTTTTGCAGGACTTACCACCAACTCTTTTGGTTCTGCTGGCTACATCAGTGCCGCTGTGGGGGGACCCTGTTGGACCAGGCCACGCCACATGTTCCAAACTCTCCTGTTTGATTGACATCTCAGAAACACATGGTTCCTGGGTGACTGCTTCCGGATAAACGCTCAGCGAAGCCTGCAAAATGAGTGCAAAGAAGTGGTACAGGTAAATCTTTATGTAATCATTTTGTACAATACTTATATTTAGCTACTGGTACATAAAATATAAATAAAATAAAAAGTGGATAAGACAAACAACAGTTGGTAGTGTTTATAAAACAACCAACTTCAACTTCCAATCAATCTTTTAAGGGATTATAAAACTAGTATGGGATGTAGAGCCTTCAGGTAAGAGGCCCTACTCCTTTAGAATCAGTGATCAGTCGGGGTCAGGGAGGCAGACGCTCTCTCTACTTTGAAGAGTAGGCTTAAAACTGTTGTTAATGCTTTTTGATAAAGCTTATAGTTAGGGCTGCTTCAGGCTTGGACAAGCTCTTAGTTATGCTGCTATAGGCTTAATCAGTAGCAGCATAACCAAAGTCAGGTCTCTATCATTATAAAATAATAAAGTTTGACCTAGACCTTTTTTGTAGTGTTTTAAGATTAGATTTGTGATGAATTAGGGCTATACAAATAAAGATTAATTGATTGATAAAAATATTGAGCGAAGGCTACCTGTCGGACAAGATATCCACGTCGGCGTTCCTTCATCGCACTGGCGCTGGAGTATATCTCCCCCTGTCGGGAGGGGGACAAGCTTCCATAGTCAAAGGATTTGCTCCGCATTTCAGGCAGCTCTGTAGGCAGCGTGCAGGGTGCCTGCTCTGACGAAGACCTCCTCATCTCCCTTTGCTGATGGTGGCTGGAATGACCGCTGCCAGGCACTGTGAGGAACTCAGACTGCTTAGGTCCACCACCAGGTGCCATTGAGTCATCCTGGATCAAAAAGAAAATTGCTCATTATGTTTGAAGACTTATGGGGTAAGGTTTAATTTGCATGACAAAATAGGCAGATATTTGGAAGTGTTAAACATATAATGGGTACCTGTTTGGTGGGTGAGGCGGACTTGAGGCCCTCCTCTCTGTCAAAGGACATGGAGAAAGAAGAGGAGTGGGACAGGTTGCTCTCCTGACTGGGGCTACGAGAAAGGCTGGTACAGGTTGACTCGAAGCTTGATTCGCCCGATGAGTGCTCCATGTCGGCCAGACGCAGCCTCTTCTTCTTAGGTGGAAGCTTTTCCGATGGCATCTGAGCGAGTGTGTCGCTCCTCTGTGGTAGCTGAAACTCCTCCACATGCTGCTGCTGCTTCTCTGGTTCCTTGGCCAGGGAAACCTCTGTGTTTTTCTCTGGCTTGTCGGGCTCTTCCGTCACCCTGATCTCCGGAACTTGGATGTTGGGCTGTCGGACTAGTTTATGTGGGATGTGATATGGTTGGCCAGGCGAGGCTGCCGCCGATGAGGATGAGAGGGAAGCCATGTCACTATCACTGTGCAGCGGCTGCTCCATGCTTTCTGTCCTCAGTAGTGCAGATTCAGGGCTCAGAGCGTCTTCAAAGATCTCTGAGTCAGACTGTTCAGAGTACTGGCTGGATAAAGCTTTATCTGATGGTTGATAACCTGGCTGCTCAAAGGATTCGGACTTCTCAAAGGAATTTGGCCGGCTGAGGGAGTTGGTGTGCTGTATGACTGATATGACATTCCCAACTGCCTTCCTGCCCTCAGAGTCAGGAAACAGTGCAATGTCCTCAGAGCACATGCTGGCACAGGTATCAAAGCTGTCTGACTGGCTGTGAGCGCTGTGAAGAGAGCCCTTCCCTGTTGAGTTGGCTCTTGATCCTTCTAGGCTACCATGTTTAAATTCACAGTCCCCAATCATCTCCACTGAACCACTGCAGCTACTGTCACAGTGCCCAGGGCTGTCCTCTTCGTCCCCGACACTCTTCTCTATCCTCCTTTTTCTTGTGGCTATTTCTGACATGCTAACTTTAGTACCGTACGGACTGTAGGCGATGTGCTCCGGGACTCCTGGGCTGCGCTCACCAATCTTCTTGGGCATGTGTCCATAGCCCTCGGCTTCTCCTGCATGAGCTTCATTGGCTGAATGTTCAAATGCAGCCTGCCTCCTGAGTCTGCGAGGGGGGCTAAACACATCATCTGGTGTCATCGTCTCGTCGAAGGAGTGGCTGCCTCGAATCCCTGGTGGGACACTCAGGTTAGAAGGGGAGGAAGTTGGCATGGAGTTACTCCGAGTAAGATGAGCAGAATCTGATGGAAGCTCCAGAAGCCCTGTGCTGCTTTGACAGGGTCCTGTTGGATACTGCTTGGGATCTCCAGAGACTCCTACATCCCCTCTGAAACAGATATGATCTTCGGCTATCTTACCCATGTCTATACTAGCACCTTTTTGCTTGATGCTGGCCAGGCAGCTGGGGTCTGCCCCTGCCATGCCAACTGTGATAGACTGCCTGGGTCTGGTATTTGGACGGTAGTACCAAGTCCGACCAAACATAATCTCTTCGTATGTCTTAGCGTTGGTATTTGGGGGACTGATCTGCTGCTCTGCACTCTCAGAGCGTGAAAAGTAGCCTGAGTCGGTGCTCCCTTTGCTGTGAGGACTGAGGAGGTTCAAGGACTGGGACATGGCAGAGTCAGAGTCAAGGCCTTTTCTGTCATTCAGCTTCAGGGCCAAGCGTTGTTTGATTGAAGGGGAGTCATCCAGTGAATGCGCTCTTCCTCCAATCTGTGACACTAACATGTGGTGTGACCCCTTAATGTCTTGAAAGGGTGGGCACTCCATTCCTGTGGAGGGGACTCCCCCAGGGTTGGGGACAATAAGGATAGGCACTTTCATAGACCCCACAGGGAGCTCTTCCGCTGAGTCTGCATATGCGGGTTCCACACCACCTGTACAGGGAGAATTGAGTTAGGCATGCCATAAAGTATACAAGACGCTGGAAGTCTATATCTAATTTGAACCTTAAAACCTTAACTTTTTTTGGCTTCATTAAAATTGGGCTATTAGAGTTCAGAACGTATTTATGGATTCATTTCAAAATGTTTTAAAATGTGGGAAAAATAACCTGTACTCTTGTCAGCTTCAAACGAGATCTGCATGGTGGAGCCCTCCACGCCTTCCTCATCCGTGTCCGTACTTTGCTCTCCATCTGAGTGGACCTCGGCCTCGCCTACTGGAGATGCCTGGTCCAAGTCCCCGCCACGGGCCACTGCTAGCTCTGAAAATGGTACGAGTCCAGCCTTGATGGCATGAGCATGGGACTTACGATGCTTGTACAGGTTGCTCTTGGTTTTAAAGGAAAAGCCGCAGGGTACACAAGGATATGGCCTCTCTCCTGTATGTGAGCGGATGTGCTTTTTCAGGACGCTGGGCTTGGCGCAAGCTCGACCGCAGTAGTGACAGATATACTTACCGGGCTTTTTTGGCTTCTGTTCTTTTTTGCTATATCCCTCCTCACCAGGCTCAGGGCCCGACTGAGAATACTGTCCGAAGGAGCTAGGTAAACTGGGAGATTTCTGGCGGGGAAACCTCCCTGCACCAGCCCCATGAGGGTGAGTATGTCCTGGATGTCCTACAGGGTACAGGTCATCCGATGGCAGTTGGCCAGCAAATGGCCAAGCATGAGGCTCTAGACCTGGCTGAGGTTTGGCTCCTGATAGGAAGCGCTCAGTCTGGGGGTGCTGAGGGTATGGTTGGCCAAGTTGGTAGGAATATCCCCTTGGGAACCCCTGAACAAATGGCCCTTTGGGGTCTTGAGATGGCGGACCTCCTATGGCCCCAACCGCAGAGGGTCCAGATAGCAGCTTTCCAGAATTACCTGTAAATGCGTACTTCTGCTGAGGTGCTGATCCCCCGGTGGCGCCACAAGGCAAACTCTCCCTGTGTTTTCCCTCTGGGTCAGCAAAAGTGCTTTGTTTTGTGGTTGCAGAGGGCTCAGACGCCCACTTCCTTTGCAGAGGCATCTTCTCCTTCACTGGTTCTTTATTTGAGCATTTCTGCCCAGCGGCAGCTGATTCACGAGCTTCCATTTCTGTGAAGCTCTTCTGTGGGTTAGAAGAGGAAGGATGGAGGGGATGGTGGGGGAGTGGGAAGGCAGGTTCTGGAAGGTTACAAGGTCCCAAATCTACCAGGCATGATAGCTGAACCTTTGAGGGCTGCCAACAATATCACAGAAACAGGAAGTGCCCATCCATTGCTGAAAGAGACTTATTGTAAAGCCAGCCTGGAAACAGGAATTAGGAAGTGGAAATAAAAAGGGAGCTTTGGTGGATGACATCAGAAATCTTTCTCCCCCTTTGTCATTTTGTAAACACACCAATGAGGCTGTGCGCTGTTTTTTTGTCCAGTTCATATAAAGGAGAAGAATCCTTGAGTTATCTGAGGAGGAAACAAAAACAGACAAATGTTTGGTGAAGAGTTGAGTTTGAGTTCGCAGTGTATGAAATAGCTGTGGTAAATCCAGAACAACATGCTGATTATTTGAAAAGGGTAAGTACTAACATTTATTTAGAAAGTGCTTGTAGATCCTCCTCTCTCTGTAGCTTCAAAAGTCATCCAGTTTTCTCAACACAAGACCTGTAACAAAACAAAAGAGCAAATGAATATTGGTATGACTTTAAACGGAGCCATTATAACAATGTAGAACAACTTCAACTTCAGCCTGACATTGGAGGCTAACCATGAGTCAGTTTTGTGTTGAAGTCATTTACCCCAAGAAGTAACATGTTCCCTGCTAGCTGCAACAAAGCATCATATACTTTGCTGTACAGCAAGGAAACACAAACTTGTCAAGTACATGCCTGATGTGCGGAGGTAAATGTCATTGTTTGTTCAGTTAGTTTCTTCACACTGGAATCCATCTGTGCTTTTTGCCTTTCCACCCCTTCCTCCCTCCCTCCCTCCCTCCCTCCTTCACTCCCTCCCCCTTCCACTCAGTGAGTCACTGTTGCAAAGCAAACCCACGCTGTTCCTAAAAAGACACAAAGGTTTTATAAATAGCGCTTGTGGAAGTGACGTCGGAGTGTCATAATGTGTGTAGGCGTCCCAAAAGACCAAATCGAAGAGCAGCCGTCAGCGCTTGCACCATTTCTTCCTCTCTGGGTGTCAAAGTTTGATCGAACTTGGTATGTACTCTACCGAAAGGCAAACAAGAGAACTCACTCACAGAAAAAAAAACATTGATATGCTACTTGCAAGCATTGCAACTGCACTGCAAACACTGCAGTAGACACAGTGTGTATGTGTGTGTTTCCGTTGTTTAACGTTCCTTAACCACACCAACACCTGACAAGCACAGAGCTGCATAGCACACACACACCCACACAGACACACACACACACACAAACGCCTGCTGAAGTTGCAGATTTGCTTTTGTAATTCCTCATCTCAGAGTTTAAATAACCTCCCTTGCACTCCGATTGCGACACAAACACACTATTCTCATCTATATACAAACACAGTGAGGCTTCAGTGCTGGTAAGCGGGGCTCGATGACGTGAGAGTCTGAGGGCCCAACGTGAGATCTATTAATAGCACGGGGAGGGAAAACATGCTGTATTCTTAGCTGCAGGAATGTTAACTTTGGGCTACCTTGTATTACTGATGTTTAACACACACAGACACACAAACACACACCGGATACATTAGCTCAGAGCTGGGTCATGTTATTAAGTTTCCATGGTGTTAAGAGTTCAAGAATGTGCTCTGGAACCGAAGGGCCTGACTCCGTTAACAACTGTGAAAACTGAGTTTGGCAAAAACCAAACTCTGAGCCCAGACGTCGATGGGGACTTATTGGGATTTATTTGGTTTATTGTGATGGTCAACTAATAAAACTGTCTATTGTGTTGTGTTTTGAGATAGCATTGGTACTACCAATAATGGAGTCGTTATTCCTTTAAGTAAACACACTGGTAGAATCACAGATGAAATGATGAGTCACATACAGCCATAATCTGGCATGGAGTACGTCCTACAGTCTTATATTCATCTATGGTAGCCTGGGTGTGCCAAAGTTAGTGTCACTGTTAAAGTCCACAGTGGTTAAGGATTGGATGAAGGTGTAGTTTAAATGCATCTACAGAAAACTAAATAATCCAATGTATTTTTAAAACCCTCAAAGTAACACTGATTCATCTCTTACTCATGAATCTCAGCTGACTTTTTGCACTCATAATAAAGTCACACTAGAGACATGAATCCAAGAACAAATGTTACTGCTTCTTCTTCTTTATGTCAACACAACTCACAGGTTGATAAAACAAGATTGCTGTCGGAGGCCATTTTAAAACCCAACAGTGATCGCCTTGCACACTTTATCCTCTGCGGGCAATGGCTAACGTTTCAGCGTCTTCAATGAAGCATGCAGATATCTGGACTCATACCACCCGACATCTGCGATGCTCAGCCGCCACCATCGGACTGTGTCGTCCCAACAACCACCGCCGTCTTAATTCATGCCTGCTCCGACCTCTACCTCAGCGGCAAGGAAGTGTGGACAACAGGAACGTGAGGAATACAAAGAGAAATCCTTCCTGCATATTATCACATATGCTCTTTTGTAAAGCGTCAATTGATATACTGATATCGAGGATACCATTGGATTTAAAGCTGAAAGTTAATCAGACAATAGCTGAGGCCGGCATTCTGGGATTTTGACCAATGAATTCCAAACATAAATCAATCAATTTGGTTAACAAATGTAATCTTGAGCTACTTCACAAAAAGCTGGTAAAAGATCTTACCCATTGCTATATTATCCAAAAAGACCCAATGATAATCCATCATGAGCATTAAGCAACATTTAACAAAGTTACAGTGGAGAGGAAAAACTTCCTTTAAGAGGCAGAAATCTTGGGAAAAACCAAACTCATGATGAACAGCCATCTGCTGAAATTTAACCGGGCATCGGGAGAGATGCAGGAATGGTCAGTACTTCTCGAAAACACAATGTTTTTGACACCAAAAATCTTGTCCCTCACCTTTACGTTCTGTTACATTAAGAGACTTTTGTCGCAAGTACCCCCAACTTTCTTATTCTTAAAAACTGTAATGTGAGATCTTCATGTTGAGTCTGACAGCCATGTGGAGCAATGGCAGGTAGTATGCTAGTCCTGAGTCAAGGCTAAAAAACAGTTCTTTTAGTAAGACTACTACATTTCAAAGTGGCACTTCCAATGGCTCCAACAAGAAACATCCTGTCCGTTTTTTATTTCCAATGGTGTAAAAGTTAACCAAAACCATTTCTGCAGCTTGGTCTGGCTTTTGAAAAACATCCTTCCATCCATGCAAGACGACCAAAATGACTGTTATCTCAAAAAAACAAACAGCTATATTTACTTTTCTGATGACTGTGAAGCTCTCACAATTCAAACACACACTGTTGTAACTCTTTGTGCCATTTGGGGTCACCAAAGGATTAACTTTTTTTGTTGCAGCTTTACCGTCTGCTATCACACATCTTAAAAAGCTATCTGACCTCTTGACACACACCCATAATAAACCAAGCCCTGAGTTTGACCTTACCGCATGCAGATAATACTCGGTTAAACTCCAGTGTGAACTTACGTAAGGAAACTGGTTTTGTAAGCAAACAGTGGAATGGTCGCAGTCTGCAGGTGAGTGGGAGCATGAAGTGAATGGCTTACATAAAGATTTATTCATACGTGCACCGACACAACCTGCCCCAGTTCCTGTGCGTAGGAGAGACATAGCTACTGGTGTGTGTGTGTATAAGTGTGTATGAGCGTGGGCAGTGTGTGCGCTTGCTGTTTGTGTAGGCTGGCAAAGGGCATGAAGAGACACCCAAGTTGTAGGTAGGTCAGAACAAGACTCATTGAAAAGGCAATAGTTGGAGGTAAAAATAGAACGGCACACACACACACTGAAACACTGACACAAAGTGATCTGTCAGGATGCTTTAAATAACCAAGTTACTTAACAGAGACGAGCAGAGATCAGCATTCATAGACGTGGAGATGGATCTAGGCGATGCTTTATACCCACTGCATCCTTCTTCTCAAATATCAGCGCTGAGTTCAGTTTTGTTTTTGAGTGTTTTCACAATGAATGAACCCCACGCTCAAATGTGTCTCGAGCTGTCCAATCACAAAAAAAGGGTTAATCTATACTTAGGTGTGATCACATAGAAGACGTGAAGGATTCGATTGCTCCTTGCACATAAGGGGGTTCTCTGAGATGCTGTGCGGTCAGAGTATCGGTGCAAGTTGCAGCGTGCAACCAGATCTTTTTTTCTACAATTCTACAATTCACTTAGCAGACGCTTTTATCCAAAGCGACGTACATCAGAGAGTAAGAACAACACAAGCAAGGATCTAGAAAAAAGGGAACAATGTCAGTAAGAGCAAACGATCAGCTTTGAGTCTGATTGGACACACAGGTGCTGACAGGAAGTGACCAGAGGCAAAGCACAACATTGAGGGCAGTTCTTGAGAGTTCTAATCAGTATAGAAACCATCTTATAAGTCATCGTTATCAAACAAAAACCATCGTCATTACCATCATCATCATCAATAATATGGAGACCATCATCATTAAGTTAGTAGGTATTCATGAAAGAGCTGGGTCTTTAGCTTTTTCTTAAAGGTGCAGAGGGACTCTGCAGATCACATGGAGTTTGGAAGTTCATTCCACCACCGGGGGGCGACAGAGGAGAAGAGTCTAGTCAGAGACTTAGGACCCTGTTGTGAAGGTTGGATCAGACGCCTTTTACTCATTCATCACTCATCATTCAGTTTTTATACCTAACATGTTGCTAGAAAAGGCTGAGTGGTTAGGTCGTGCGTCCCATGTAAAGAGACTGAAGTCCTCGAAAAGGGGCGGACAGGGTTCAAATCCGACCTGAGGCTTCCCGCATATCATTCCCCACTATCTCTGGGCCTGATTTCTGGCTCTATCCTCTGTCCTATCTGTACAATAAAGACATAAAAAGAACATTTCTTTGACACAAAGCCAGTAAGAAACCCGAGTTGATTTTCTTGTTCTTTATAGTTTTGGTTTTAGGGGTATTTGCACTTTGGAGCCTCTTCTTCATACCTGCCGAATGCATCCTTTTCAGAAGTCTGCACGATTTCAAAGAAGGGTTTTTTTCTCTCTCTCTCTGCTTATACAACATGGACACGTTTCATTTGCTTCTGCAGGGTGCAGTTCTTGCAGTGTGTAAGTATGGATGCTCTCCTGAAACACCTGTTCCTCAAAGATGTTCAAACCGTAGCGCAGAACATGACCTCACCTGTGTGCTTCAGTTTCCCCGAATATTTTTGGACACGACGTCTCGTTTTAAGACAGATGTTCGACGGACACAAAGGGATGCAATATATGAGGCAAAAAAAAAAAAAAAGATTGAAGAGAGCTGAGGTGCATGCAGGTATGTACAAGAAGAGTCCAACACGAACCAGATAACCCCCCAAACCCTGGAGGTATGAATTCTGTGTGGGCATTAGCCATGCAGTAAGAACAGAAGGCTGTGTGTGTGTGTGTGTGTGTGTGTGTGTGTAGTGCTCTATAAAGTGTGTGGGAGGCTGTTCAATATGAGGGCTGAAGGCACACTCTCTCTCTC